ACATCCTGAAAGCACTAGTGAAAATGTGAACGTACTTTGAACTCCTGAGTTAGGCAGCATATTATCTTCTAAACTAGTGTCTGTTGCAATAGTTCCTGTGTTTTACTGTTTTCCTCCCTTTTTTTTCCCCCTGGGTGTCTCCTAGGAGCTGCTTGAGTCGTATCCCAAATGGACTATGGAGAGCTTCAGCTACTGTGGCTTCATCTCTAAGATTCTCTGAAGCAGGGAGTGTTCTTAATTAATTCCTCAGACACCCAGCAGACGGCAGCTGCCACCTTTATCTACCATCTACTGCTCCCTTCCACTTCCAGGCATGAACAGTCCGGCTCCAAGCTGGCAGCCTTTCCCAGCAGAAGCATTTTCCCTTCAAATGAGCCCCACTGAAAATGACAGGACTCAGCTGCATGCTGTTCTGGCAAAAATAGCCTCTAAACAAGAGAAAAAGCCCAACAGTTTGCATTGAGGAGACACGTCAGCTCCTGAGGCTTGCACCTTCTTGCAGAGAGTGAGCTAAGTGCTTCAGGAATAAAATTAAATCAAAGTAATAGCAGGTTTGCACAGTTGGTACTCTCACAGAAAGCATATGCCAATCTCACACTAGACCAGGACTCGCAAGTCAGCTTTCCAAGTGCAAGTGTTGCACAGAAGAGAGGCAGAGGTGCGTCAAATTGTGGCTTTATCTTACTCAGTTTCGGGGGTGAGGCTCCGCATTTAACCCATACTGTACCCAATGGACACACACACACACACACACACACACACAGAGCTCATTCCTCAGAGATCAACTTCATTTATCTTCTAACAGGACAGAGAGATTCATTTGCTTGGCAAAGAACAGCATAGGAGAAATACATGAACAAGCAGATCCTTTTGAAAGGAATGGGTTTATTTCTCCAGCTGCTGAATAACATGACATTGGGGGGTTTTCCCTTCCTTAAAAAGAGGCAAAATTAACAAGCAGCATTTACTAATGCAATACAGCCTGATTTGATCAATGTTTTCTCCCTGTATTAAGATGTTTGTTAATCATTCATTCCATAATTTTCCTAAAATGCTTGCTCAATACATTAAAAAGTATGCATCTCTATACATTCAATTACATGCAGAAAATTTCTATTGCTTGATTGGGGAGTCACGATGCCAACAGCTCTCAGAGCTTGCCATCTCTGAAGACAGAATTATACTTAATACTTAGTATAACTAGGCTTTTCATTTTAAACTGTAATTACTTTCCACTTCAGAACTACAGAATGAAGCATCTTCCTATACTTAAGCCTCCCAGCGCACGGCCAGCTTGCAAAAATCGGACACCGAGCATTATCAGTTTTCTCAAGGGAGTAAGATATTTGCTAACTGCCAAGAACAAATGGTAGCTATTCATGTGTAGCATAATGAGATGCAGCGTGAGAAATGACATACATTACTCTGTCCATATTCTGGAAAATCACTGCAGCTGAATGAAATCTCAGTTTATCACAAACCAAGCAGTATGAAGAACTAGAACAGCTTCTAGGCAATTAGTAACACACAAAGAAAATGACAGCAAAGGTTTTATTTGTGGGCCTAACAAGGGGAAGGAATAAACTTCAATGTAAATACTTGCTGTTTAAAGAAAAGGTTCAGAAACAGGTTTAAGTAAGATTTGACAAAGAAAGTATCTTGCTGCCTGCAAGTTAAAACGTGGCCAAACATTCAGAAAAAAAAAAAAATGGCAACAGCACTGCAGCTGAAATTGCAACTTCCTTGATATGCAGAATGAAGAGGCTGCAATTCCAAAAGACTTCCAAACATTTTATATAATTACACACACACACACACACACACACACACACACACACACATATTCATGCTTTCTCAGTATCCTTCCACAGCAAGCCAATATAACCGTATCAGAGCAAGGGAGTAAGAAAAGGCAAGCAAATAGAAAATGCCTTTAAAGAGTCATTAATCACAACTTTGCTTATTGAAGAAAGGAATGAAGTAATTAAGAAATCATTTCAATCCCACAATTAGTAGCTTGATCAAAACAATTAAAATCCTTACCTCTGTGTTCCTATTCCTGGCTTCTCTCCTTGCTGCTTTTTCTTTTAGCCTTTTCTCCTAAAACAGACAAGATGCACAGTTTTAAAGCAAATTCCTAGCTTTTTTTTCTTTTAGTATGTTAAGATTAAAGCCGAGCCACCTAGGTATTTTTAATGCACACATATTATACTGGTGGTATTCACCCTACGTGTTACTGATGAAAAGCAATGAATAAAAAGATCTGATTGAGATATTGTTCATTCTTCTTGCTCTTAAAGGAAATAAAATGACAAGAATGATTCAAACCCACATTTGATCTTCACAGAGATTTGTTACTTATAAAGGAATGATGCAGCTAAATATTTTTACAAAGTTAGTATTTGTCTCTAAAACAGGGTAGTTAAAATGGCACCAAGAGATCCAACTTTTCTTATTTCTCAATGGCTTAACACGAAATCCAATCTATTTAACAAACAAAACATTTTCCTAACTTCAGAATTGCTAAAGAAACTGGGGAGTGAAAGCTAAAACATGTTCTCCCTAGCTTTCATATCTCCATTACTAACACTCTACAACAGCATTTGCTTAGGAATTGCATTGATTCAGAAATCACAACATTAAGTTCCCTCCACCAAAGGGATTCTGCTAGGGGAAAACAAGCAAACGCAATGATAAAATTCATTCAAAGCTGCCTGCCAGATTTCTGAGCATACAAAAGTGACCAAGATATTTAATTCAATTGACATTTATTGCTGCTCTTTTTGTTGTTCTTATTGGGATTGGTTTATTTTTAAACTAACTGAAGGATTATCTCTAATTTAGACTCTGTCAGGTCCTTGCAATTGTAAATCCTTTAAAACATCTATTTCATGGAGTAGGGACAGAAATTCAGGTATGGGCACATGTCCCTTAGAAAAGCGCACTGCTCCCTCGTTTTGTTTTGTCTGAGTGATGCTGATGACATTGGCATTGACACTTCTTTATGCTAGCATAAAAATGTTTATGGAATACAACTCTCAGTTTCTTTGAGCAATTTAGGCCATTCCTAGCATCAGCACATTTAGAACCGAGTCCACATCAAAGGGGACATCATTACTTTAACATCAGTCCAGGGGCAACACCTCAGCACAGACAAGGCTGAAGACCAGTTACGTTTCACCTCACTCGCGGGAGCAACAAAAAGCTGCAGCTCCAGCACTCCTGGAGCCGTATGATGCCACCAAAGCATATTGGTAGGTCACGCAAAGTTGGAAAACCAGTGTGTTAGAGTGCAGACCTGGGAAAAGGAGAACACAGCCACCAAGATTTTTAAAATTAGTGTCTAAATTCAGTTTCTTTTGCGCCATTTGTCTGGTGTGTGCCATTTTCTATTCCCTCAATTGCCCAAACTACAGAAGTGTTAGCTTACTTTCAAACTCTTTCTCTGAGTAAGTTAACTTCTTCTCTCTAAATCAAAACTAAAAAGACAGAGTTCATCCCCTGCCCAAAAGACAGGGACAAAGCTGCATGAGGTGTGCAAAGCTGTCTGGTACAAACACCTTGATACACTCAGAGCTACATGCCAGGGCATTCAATGCTTGCTATGAAACAAAACAAAAAACCCCACCACTGTAGACAGATACAACACAGCTGTCTTCTTATTTCAGGTTTGTTAAAGTAAGAAAAAGCAACAAAAAAATAAAAGTTACACTTAAGGCCACCAGGACCAAGTACTGTCTGGTATGGACACAGGCAGTCTGCTCTCCAAGAAGCTAGACCTAAGCATCATGACCTCATTGGTCATAACATGGCCATCTTTCTCTTCCAAGTCAAATTTGTATTAATTTCTGATAATTTCTACTTATGCTTTTCTAATGATTTTACTGGAAAGTTTTCCACTTTCACCCACTGTTTTTAAATGGTTTGGTTGTGCATTCTTTGCTCTTTAGTGTCACCATTGGCGTTCTCTCGTTTTTCTGCAAAAACTGTGATCCTTTTCAAACTTTACTGCTGAAAAAGGGAAAGAAACCAGAGCTAGACCAGATAGTACAAAGCAGGATAAATCAACTTTTAAATTGGATACCCCAGAAAACTTTAGATAGAAAAATTCTACAGTATATGAAAAGACAGCATCTTAACTACAGCCACAGGTTTAAGCCAATATCGCAGCAAAGTTCCTGCTCAAGGGATTTACAACAGAGCACTGAAAAGACAGCTCTGAAAGCAGGAGACTGACATAATGCCATAGAAGAGGAGTACACCGGACAGCGCAACATACGTAAGTCTCTAAAGAACGGTAAAGACACAAAAAGATCCTGAAGTTAATAGGTGCAGAGACTGAAATCAGGAGTACAAAAGAAAAACAAGACAGAGCAGCAATCAACAGGAGATGCTGTCAAGACCTTTTTTTAATTTTCTTTTTCTGTTGTTTTTTTTTTTTTTTTTTGTTATCTGGTGGTTTGGTTTTTTTTTTTTAGGGAGAGAGAGGGGACTTGGTTCCTTGTCAATGAAAGACCAAAAGCAAGTTTTGCATAGGGTGCACCTGTGTTGGCACTGAGTTGGAGTTATGAGTGCATTTTAGAAGCCAATGTCCTAACCAGGCCCACTGCTGCTGTGTTTTACAGTACAAGGCAGTCTTCAGGAGCACAGCCAATACACTCCAACCAAGACTGGGCATTCACGGGGTCATGGGATCATTCAGACTGCGAGGAACATCAGGGGGTCCCTGCTGTAACCTCCTGCTCACAGCAGGGTCAGCTCTGAGGTCAGGCCACGCTGTGCAGGGCCTCGTCCAGCGGGGTCAAAATCCCGAGGCTGGAGACCGCACAACATCTCTGGACAACCACCTGTCCTCACACAGAACAAGTTTCCTTTGCATCCGTGGAGAACCTCGTTTTAACTTACGGCCATCGTCTCTTGCCCTCTTGCTCTGCACTGCTCTGAAGAGCCCGGCACCATCTCTGTCTCCTCCATGAGCTCTCTGTAGGCACTGGGGGCTGCTGTCAGGTCCCCGCAAAGCTGCCTCTGCTCCAGGTTGAACAAACCCAGCTCCTCCAGCCTCTCCTTGCAGGACCACCATCTCAGGGACCTCAGCTGAACTCACTCCAGTTTGTCAATGCCCTCCTGTACTTGGTGTGGAGGATGTCACGAATACCAAGTAGAGGAATGACTTGCCTCAACATGATTCAGTTCAAAGCATCAGAGAAGAGCAAACACAGTGCAACCCACCACACAGCATGCGATCTGGTCCTCAGCACCTTCTTACTCTGCAGTCTTGCTCTTACTGGGCTATTTCGCTTGCTAATGCAGGAATAGCCATCAGGCTTTAACTTAGGCTTCAATTCCAGAAAACAATCCTATTAAGGCACTGCTTAAATTTATTCACAGCTTCAAGCACATGTGTAAGTACATACAGTGCACTGAACAAATGCTTAAATACTTTTCCCCAGTCAGGACCTTATTTCCTATTACCTAGAGGAAAACTGTATATTCTACTGTGCCAAGGTAATATCCCCACCTAATAAAGACACCCTTTTATATGACTGCATGAAACCCAGAAATGAACTACCTTGCCTTAGGTTACAAAGAAATGCTACAGCACGGCCAAAATCACAGATCTCCGAAGACTTAGATGAGTGTTTTAACTACAATGTCATACATTCTCACATTGCTACTGCTAGAAAGAAATATGGGCCCGTGCAGAACACACATGGACAACGTAATATAAGACAGCTGCAAAAAAATCATCAAATGAGGCAAAGTTGAACCAGTCAAACAGTTGGATATTTATTTAATTCAAGTGGATAGATTCTGCTCATCTATGGATATGCCTGTAATGATCTGTAACTACTAAACTGTCCAACAGTATTTTTCACACATGGAAAAAAAATACAATAAAGTCTGTTTTCCCGGAATACCTAAAGTGTAACACAGTGAGAATGCCAGATTTTATCACTATTCTATCAAGCTATAAATCATTACTTGTAAAAACAGCACATAATTTAGAGATAAAAAAACCAATTTACTAGGGCAGGAAAACAAAAGATTATGTTTCAAGGTATGAATACTTAATTATATATGTTACTGGCTGTCACTCTGTTATAGCATAACTTCATAACACAACACCATAAGGCTGTCAGATAAAGCTCTAAAACATCACAATCTGATTAAATACTCTTATCTACAACAGTGCAGTCAAGCATCCATATTTTCTTTTGTATTTATATTTAATAGCTCTCCTTTGCATCCATATAGCACCTTCTTCACAGATGAAAGATCTAGTCATGCCCTATTCCAGGCTATCAACACTGAGGATAAGGAAGAAGTTCAACCAAAAATCAATGCAATAATTTGTTGTAGCTTAACTTCTAAGAAAGGATTTACAGACCCTTTAGACCAAAACTAAGCAATCTCACCGTAAAGGCAGTAGCCAGAACATTCTTTTATCATCTTAGGTCAGCAACGTGGCATATGCAGGTTTTGAACAGTGGCTAAATGCAGGTTATTGAGACATCATTTAAGGAGCAGTTTGGATAGATCAAGAACCACAGGGTCATGAACTAATGAAACAGGAGAGGTGACAGGTTCAAGGTGCCTGACTAGCACAACACAGGCCATAGGACTGAATCACTGAATCAATCTACTGCAGTGGTTTCGAAGAACATTCTATCTGGATTTTAAAACATTTCACTGCAGGACAGTATAGCACAATCTTTCAAAACTAGCTGCTGTTACTAGTTACTGCTGTTACTAGTCTGAGCCTACGTATCTTTGATTTTTAGACCCTGTCTAAACTGTCTAACTGGTCTCTCAACCAGTTTGAAGGAACCCCGTTATCAAAGTTTAGGTCCTTATGTAGATACATGTTGATCATGCTTTCTCTTAACTTTCCCATTTGCAAGGTGAAGAAAATCAACTCCAGATTTGTCTCAGCAGTTAGGTCTACTTTCCTAAATAGTTCAGGAGTCTCAGACATATCTGAGAACTCACCATTTCCCAAACTCTACCTCTCACTTCTGTTTGCATATTCAGTAATTCTATCAGCCCTTTTGATCCTGTCAGAAAAACCTCCTTCTAATAGTTCATGTTGATCCGATCAA